TTTATTTTCAAATAATGGCTCCAGGTTTAATTCTGGTGTCTATACATAATTTGTAACGGAGTGGGGAGGACTAAATCAAAGCTTGATCAAACCTCCTTAGCTACCATCTCTACCAGCTAACACACCCCCTCAAGCCAGTCAGTTAGTTATACATTAAGCTGATATTCTTAACTAAATATTAATCCATGCAAGCCAAAGAGCAGAGCATGAATAGGGCAAACAGAGGTAGAAAGTTCTGCTCATCTTCCTCCCTCTATTCAGGAAAGAACATGGGGTGCCATACAGATGAAAAAATGACTTTATTAGTAATAATTCTTGCTATTTCATAGAAATGTATCTGTGTATATGATTATATTTTATATTTATTGTAAATCTATATTATCGGTGCTTATTTTCACCTGCCATGTCAAATTATTTTTATATATAGAGTGTTTAGTACTCCAGCAGTCTATAAACAAGAATCAACCAAGACCCTTTAAAGACAATGCAACAAGCCAGGTGTGGTGGCGCACGCCTTTACTCCCAGCACTTGGGAGGCAGTGGCAGGCAGATCTCAGTGAGTTTGAGGCCAGCCTGGTCTACAAAGCAAGTTCCAAGACAGCCAGGACACAGAGAAACCCTGTCTTGAAAAACCAAAAAAAAAAAAAAAAAAAGCAAGAAAATATAGCCTAGAGTTAAGCCATATCTATTGTAGTAGCAATGACTTAACAAGTCTGAAACTGTAGTGAAGAACATTCAGAACAAAGCACAGTGCAACCTGTGTATTGTAAAAAGGGAAAACATCTTCTCATACTCAGATCGTAACATACAATACATATGCGCTCAGCTGTAAGTGTGGGCACCCTATGCTATTTATGCTATTTAGAAAAGAGATCAAGAAGTGCCGGGCGGTGGTGGTGCACGCCTTTAATTCCAGCACTCTCGAGGCAGAGGCAGGCGGATCTCTGTGAGTTCGAGGCCGGGCTGGACCAACAGCCTCCAAAACAATACAGAGAAACCCTGTCTCATAAAAACAAAAACAAAAAACAAACAAACAAACAAACCAAAGAAGAGATCCAGAGAGGGTACTACCAGGTGATGGGGAAGGACAGAATGTAGGCAAAGGCAACCATGAGTCGTGAAGGTGGATACAAAGCTAGTATTTTTCTAGTTGCAACCCTGTAACAGGGTTTCATTTTAGTAGCAGGTAAGTGCGTACAAATGTAACTAATGGTGAAATATAAGCCCCCAAGTGATACTCCATGACTTCAGAAAGGGCCATTCTAACTGGATAGAAGCTCAGGGAGATGCATAGAGTTTGGGACTGGGCAAGTATTTGTTTGAGTGGCTACCTTAATCTAGTTGATGTTTGTATGTGTGAGTTCACTACAATAAAGTGATTTGATTAATGTATAAATAAATAGAGAAAACACTCATCCAAATCAGTTGTTCCATATCATTTGGTCTCCATGGATACCAGTTAACTTTCTCCTAGCACACACACATACAAAACTTTCATTCACATAACATTTCTCTGTTAAATATTTTCTTGATAATTTGTATATAGTAGTTTCCAATATTTAATATTTTGCCATTATTTTATATATCCTCCACAGTATAGTCCTAATTGTGATTCCCACTTTTATTTTAAAGACAGGGTCTCGTCTGTATCTGAACTTGAACTCACAATCCTCCTGCCTCTGGAACTAGAGGTAGTACCAGACACACTCACCTCAATAATATATATATATATATCCTTAACAATAATCTAATATAACTTAGAAAGTTAATGTGTGACATGTTTGTAGATTGCTAAAATTTACAGTGTTCTTTCATACACAGCATCACAATTGTTCCCCAAAGCAGCCCTACAAGTATGATATATTATTATCTTTCTTAAACTAACCGCCAAAGGTAATTACTGTATTTATTTTTGGTTGTTGTCAACCTCTGTGAAGCTGAGGAGGCTATCCTTGCTTCCAGTTGAGGCCACACAGCCTACCACTGTATCTGCCTGCCAGTTCGTGCCTCACAAATATTTGACAAATGTCTAAGTTCTCTCTCGATTACTTTAAGCCTGTTTGGTGGAAAGCAGATAAGGGACCTGTGACGTGATACCCCAGGTACAGTTCAGGAGACTGTTTGTTATTTTTAAAAAATGAAGTGAAAATACTGGAAATAAAATATAACTTTTACTAAATAAATCTAAGAAGGAAAGGGCAGCGCCCTTGGGTATGTGAGGAAATCAATGGATTTCAAATGGTGGATATCCAAAGTTCTAAGCATTCCACTCCTAGATTTAAACAGCTCTCACTAGTTCTAGTATATTAAATATTTGCTTAATGGAGTTTTTCAGGAGGTGGAAAGGGAAAAAAGTACAGCCATAGTTCACAGAGCTGTCAAGACTTTATGGCAATTCCTCTTTAGCCTTAAGTTGCTTCAAATTTTATCACAAATCCTCATTTTTTTATATATAGGTGATATTTTTACAGGTAAATGAATCTGAAACACGTGGAACTATTCCTAACTTTGGTCAACAGAAAAAAAGACAACTCATTGAGAATGAAATATGTTTAATTTTAAGATGCAGTAACAAATCATAACTACAAGATCTCCCGGGTCTAAGCGCAGGCCAAAATCTAACTTCTTACACAAGCGAGGGTGTAAATTATAATCATTCACCAATTACAGTGAAATTCCGGACTTTGCCCCGTCAATCAATAGATGTACCAAAGTTACCCCTTAGAAGAGATGCCAACTGAACTCCTAAATATTCCATTTGCTTGAATCTGCCTTGGAAAAGACAAATTCCAAGTCTGCATCGGTTTCTATTTTTGTGGCACCCCCACCCCAGCGAAAAAGAATGAGAGCTGAGAAAATCATAGAATCCCGAACTTGCACGAGCGATTAAGTTAAACAGGGCGACCTCTGCGGCCCTGCCCTGACCAGGGAGTGTACATCTGTCTATCCTACCATCCTGTCATCCGCCTTCTGTAAACAGTGGGCTAACAGACCTGCACCTGCCCTCAAGTACCAGAAGTACAGACTGCTAACTTCAAATGGTATTTGCAGTCAGTCGCTGTGAAAGAGCTAATAAATGACTTCAGGCTTGACGACAACCTCGGTAATTCCTGAAAATGCACAACAGGAAATGTAACTATCCTCCACCCTCTGGAGCCATTCATCAAGAGCAGCCCGGAGTCCCAGCCACAGGGAAGCCAGTGGCAGAAAGCTAACCCCAGTACCACTTTGCCTTCCTGGCACAGACACAAACCAAGGACAAGGAGTGCCCACACCGGAGGGAGAAGGGGAGGAGGAGCATGTCCCCAAGTTTCAAACACGGGGTAGGGGGGAGGGGGTTAAGAAGGACTGTAAACCGGCCTGCAGACAAGTGACCACCTCGACTGCCAAGCCCCAGGGTCTTATTTACATGCGATCACCAAGGATCTTGCCTCCACCGGCTGACCCGGGTGTCTCACCTGGTGCTCGAGCACAGTCCTGGCTCAGGGCTGAGGCTGCCGGCCTCCTTCACTTCCCTGCTCCTAAGGAGCAAGGAGCTGAGGGTGGCCAAGGATCCAAGAGCTAGGGCCCAGCGGAGGCACCGGCTGCCGCGTCCCGGCCCTGCGCTCTCGCTAAGGCTTCCCGGGCGGCTTAGGGGCGCCGGCCCCCAAGGCCGTGTGGCGGGGACTGGCCCGGCACCGCGATTGGCCGCGGCCCTCATCGCTCGCCCAGAGAGCCGGGCCGGCGGGGCGGAGAGGAAGTGGCGGCTGCCTCTCTGCACCAACCATGTTCGGCAGGCGGGCGAATGTCACCCGGCGCCCGGAGCGGGTCGGAGGGCACGGGGCGGGCACTCGGATCTCCACCGAGTCCCGGAGACCCCCGAGGGCTCGCCAGCACCCCACACACACACTCATGCCCGCGGGGTCGCCGCTCGGTCCCCGGAGGCTCCCCGCCCCCACACCTCGCCCAGTGCCGTAGCCAAGGCGGGTCGGGCCCAGCGCGCCAGGCCGGCCCGGGGGCGCCCGCGGGGACCCGGAGGCGCTCGCAGCTAGGCCGCGCCGGGGTAGGTGACCCCTTCTCACAGAGCCCTCCCGGGACGCGCCTCTCGGGTGCCTTGAGCACCGGGACAAGTGCAGTGACAAAGCCCCGAGGCCAGGCCAGGCGCTGGCCGGCGGATAGGAGGACGCGACGTCCCTGGCGAGTGGCGGCGGCCCAGCCCCCAGGAAGCCGGGCGCGCCGGCCAGGCCCGCGCCCAGCCGCGAGCGGAGCTCGCCCGGCCCGAGTGGTCGCTGGCACCCGACGCCCGTCACCCGATCCCGAGCCCCGTGGGCGAGCGCATCCCGGGAGCGCCTCACAGCACCCATCAAGTTTACTGTGGCCACTGCCCGGGCATGGGTATCTGGGGACCGCGGGTGCCAGTCTATTTACACCAGAGACTGCCGGGAGAGAAGGGCCGCCGGGTACCGAGAAGAACCCTGTTCCCTTCTTTGGACCTGGTGGCGACACTGTCTGTAAACATACATACACACACACACACACACACACACACACACACACACACACACACACACACACACCAATATTATTTTAAATGAGGCCCGACTCCAGAGAACCTGCACCCACAACGCAGGACACCTGGGGCGCAGAATCACACAGAGCGGATCTGGGTCCATAGAACCACCTCTTCGCATCTGCAAATCCAAAAGTGAAATTAAACCTCCACTAACCTCCTCCTCCCTCTCTACCTCCTCCTCCTCCTTGCAGCCTCAGCAGCCCCAAGTACCAGCAGCAACAGCAGCAGACCCTGCTTCCCCTAAAATCAGATGATCCATAACTGCGCCGACTCTTCCTCCAAAAATCGGTATTAATATTTATGAACCCCGGCATTTTTCCGTCTGCAAAACATCGTGTCAAAGCATCAGGACGCACATACATACAGAGCTCCTCCTGTCCCCATCAACAAGCCCTCGAGAGAAAACACACGCACAGTCACAACTATTATTTGAAAAAAATGTTGTTACCTCTCAGTGTGCTTTTTTTCACGCTACCAATACAATCCCGCAAGGTGTAAGTGTTGTTAGGGTGTGTAAAATGGAAATGAAAGCCCGTCAGTTGAATAATCGCAGGAGCAAAACTAAAAGTTACTCCCCGGCTTGCTTGAGAACAGTCCAGATCGAAAGCAAAACAAGGAGAGGAAACTGCGAGGAGCCGAGGCTGGAAATCCCCCCACCCCCGCCCTCTCCCGGCCCCGCTCCCTCCCTCGCTCCCCCTCCGCCCTCCTCCCTCCCCGCCCTTCCTCCCCAGTGTTTGTTTCAAGCTTGTGCAACCCGGAGGTGGAGGCAGAGGGAGGGCTCCAGCCGCCAGCCGGGAGGTGCGGAAGTTCGCCGCCGCTGTTCATTGGCGGGCAGCGCGGCTTTCATCATTTCTCGGAAAAGTCAATTTCATTTTCACTTCCCCACGTCGCGGCTGCGGGGAGCAACAAGCGGCAGCGCGTGAGTGTGTGTGTGTGTGTGTGTGTGTGGCTCGCGCCGAGGGGCGCTCGCTGGAGAGGGGGCTCCAGAAGTGGCGGGCCAGGCGGAGGCTTGGGATCTGGCCACCAGCTAGTGACCTTGGGGGAAGGAAGGCGGTACCTGACGCTGCATCCTACCTCAAGGTGGGAACGACCAGAGTGGGGGCCGGGACGCCTGGGGACCCTTTCTGACCTGTGGGTTGAGTGTTCAGAATCTCTGTGCTCAGGCTGCACACACAAACTTATCTTGGAAAGTCGCCCGCTGCAAAGGAATGTAAGGAACGAAGTCAGCTGAAAAGAGGGCATTACTTGCCTCCCTACTTTATTGGATCGCCTACCGGGGGTGAGGGGTGAAGGGCTAGCTTGGCACTCTGTGTGGGAGCTAGGGTGATTAGAAAAGCCTTCCCCAAGGAAGTCACTCTCCAAGGCTGCTTTCACGTTCCATTCCTGCAAGATGAGATGGCCAGGGCTGTGCTTTGCTTAACTTAAAATGTCTTGCTTGTGGCTGGCCCTGGAGGGAAAGCTAATAGTGCAAGTTACTTCTAGCCAAGTTCAAATTTGACCCCCTTACTAGCTGGACATCCTTGGCCACTGTCCTCCACAGTGGAGATGATAAAGAACTCAAGAAGAAGGTCGGGAACCTATGACAGGTGCAGCAGCTGCTGTCTATTAGCTCCTCTGGGCCAGCTCACTTGGAACCTCCTCCTCTTTGGTCGTTTAACTTGAGAAGTATTTCGTTACATTTAGTTACATCTGTTTCTTCCTTGGCTTACAGTCTCCTCCGCCTTCGCTAGCCTCTAGAGAAGGTTCCATCCCAGGAGATTGTAACTACGTGTGTGTACAAATCTGAAAGCCAATTCTACCCCGTTTGTCATAGAAGTACTGCATTCCACAGACAAGAAAAGGAAACGTATCCATGTACTTGTGGAAGGAAAATAGGTGAGATTAAGGACTCTGTCTTGTCTCTAAATTAGATTTCCCTCGTGCACACATTGTCTTTATTCCTCCCCTAATAACATTGTACAAACCTTGCTTTCATATTTCATACATCAATAACCATGAGAGTATACAAACTACAGCATAGTTGTCCCTCTTTATCAACCTGGCACCTAAGTTAAAAGCTTCATAACCACCAGTCAGTCATTCTTTTCTTGCATGCTTTTTGTGTGCACGAGTACGTGTGTGTGTGTGTGTGTGTGTGTGTGTGTGTGTATGTGTGTGTGTACAAGTCATGTACTCACAGAGGTCAGAGTGGCCTGCTCTGTCATTCTCTACAGTATTGCTTTAAGACAGAGTTTCTCACTGAGCCTAGAACTAGACTGGCGGCCAGCTGCTCCAGCAGTCTTCATGCCTCTGGCCGCCACAGCACTGAAATTAGGTGGGCACATGGCCAGGCCTGGCTTTTCAAGTGAGTGCTGGGATTTGAACTCAACTCCCCATGCTTTTGCAGCAAGCACCCTTCCCCGCCGAGTCATGTCCACAGCCCCTTCTTTTTGTTGTTTTCTTTGAGGCTGTTCTGCTCATTTTAGTTTTGCTCATTTGTCCGTTTGTTTGTTCATGTCTCTGTCTGGTTTTACACAGGATCTTCCAGGCTAGCCAGAACTGTAGTCCAAGTAGTCCTGGAACTAAAGATGTCCCTACCTTAGCTCCCGAGTCCTGGAATTATAGGCGTGTGCTCTCTGTGTGTGTTTATTTTAATCCACACCCAGATGATTGTCTTTTCTCCCTAGAACAGGGAGAGGAAGGGAAGAAAGGTGCCTTTCTGAACTTCTGGCTCAGTCCAGTATCAATTCAGCATCCTTTATGTGTAGGCCCAAGGAGAGAAAGAAACAATGAGGTCTGGTGGGGCCAACCAGTGTCACCTCCCTAGTATCCATGGCAATAGCTGCCTCAGTGGTGAAGACTCAGGGAATCCAGACAGGACATGACCACAAATCCTAATGACTTACGGCCGTGCACAGAGGCTGGTCCTGGAACCCCCATTGCTGGATACAGAAAGCATCCCGACTATGTGCTTCTGATGACTGGCCTCCCATCCATAAGTCTTCACGAAATGTTCCGTCAGAAACTGGACCTGCCTGCTCTGAGTACAGCTCCATCTCACTGTTTGAGAAAGAGCAGCGTCCTAATGATGTATGTATTGTGTCCTATTATGGCTTGATACGCAACAAAAACGTTTGCTTGGGCTGTTTTGGTCTTTGCAGTTGCCCTTGATACCTTCCCACAACGTCCATCCAATCAGTTGTATCAGTATGCATCCAATCACAATCAATCATGTCCTATACACGTCGGTGCAATGCTCCAGTGTCTCTGGATAAAGCACATCCCTAGAGCACTGCCTTCAATCATTGGGGTTCCTGAAAACCCTGCCCAGTCTTCCTTGGGTTCCTCTATTAGACACAGTGTTATCAAAGTTAAGTGGGAACTTACTTGTCATTCTTGTCCTCTCTCTGCCCCTCAGAAACCCATCTGGAGCTTTCAGAATAGAGGCCGTATTTGTTATAAGACATATAAAGTCATTTTAATGTGGTGGCAGACTGCCATCTAACCTCGTGTGCTGCCTGTGCACCCTAAAAGACCTGCATCTCTCCCTTGCTAAGCCAACTGGCTTCCTTTTTGTAGAACATCAGAGTATTTCTCATATTCCTTGTTTATCATTAGTTTGGTGCCCAGCACATACATGGTCAAGTATGTTAGAATTCACAATTCCTTTCTCTAAGTTCTGTAGGAATAGTCTAGACTTTCTCACATCATTTGTTTTATACTTCAGTAACATTTTAAATGGTTATTTTTATTTTACATGTATGAGTGTTTTGCCTGGGTGTGTATATATGCATTGTGTGTGTGCCTGGAGCCCACAGAAGTCAAAAGAGGACATCAGATCTCCTGGAACTGGAATGTGGATGGTTGTAGGTCTGCATTTGGGGGCCAGAAACTGAACCTGGTTCCTCTGCAAGAGTGGTGAGCGTTCTTAACTGTTGAGCCATCACTCTGGATCCCTTTATTAATATTTTAATACAAGTGTAACTGGTTACCATTATATGAAAGTCAGAAAATATGGATTAGCTGGAAGAAAATAGCATTGCTGAGCATGCTAGCCCACGACTGTAATCCCAGCACGTGGGAGGCTGAGGAAGGTTGATCCTGAGTTCTAGGCAAGCCTGGACTACATAGGGAGACCTTGACTCAAAGAAACAAGGTTGAAGATATAGCTCAGCTGTTAGTATTTTCTTAATGTGAGCAAGGACATGAAATCCAGCCCCCACTATGTGCATGAATGTACACACACACACACACACACACACACACGGGGAGGGGAACCTAAAATTTTACTCTCAGAATAGATCTACTGATATTCGTATGTGCTTCCAACTAGTAATTTTTCAAATGTGCTGTTTCCAATCTTCATCTGCTAACCATTTCGTGTGCAGACTGTACTTCCCATCTCCCTCTGGGCTTATGTGATATCTTTCTGTCCTGTTCCGTTTCTTGGCTGGCTTCTCTTTTTCTGCCAGCCCCCTAAATTATGGTGTTTCCAAGCATTCTATCTTCAACCCTCTCATTTTCTCATTTTATATGCTCTTTATCTTTGGGTGCACCCATCCACGCCCAAAACCCCAGATATCGCTACAGATGGTCCTCTACTTAGCAATAGTTCTACTTACAATTTTCCAATTATGCAGTGGTACAAAAGCAGCAAGGATTCAGTGGAGATTTTGCATGTTGGTCTTTTAATGGACCAGCACTATGCAGTGTAATACTTGCTGAGCAATGGCAGACATCCTCAAGGCAGCCACAAGATCACCAGGTGAAACAGCCCACACCCTGCAATGTACCAGCTGCCAAACTATAACTTTCCCTAGGGTAGGTATATCAAATGCATTTTAGGAGACAGTATTTCCACTTGTGGTGGGTTTGTAAAGGTCAGACCTCTTATAAGTTGAGAAACATCTATATTTGGTGATGGTTTCAAAATAAAATTCTGAGCTATAGTCACCTTACCTCCTAGATGCCTGTGAGATGCGTATATATGTACATACTTACATACATATTCCAAGTTCAGGTCAATGCTCACACAAGGAAAACACAGAAAGTGTCTCCCTATGTCACTCAGGCTGCCTTGAAGTCAGGGTCCTCCTCACAAATTCTGGGATTACAGGCTAAAAATAAACTTGTAACATCTTGCCCTACAAACTGATATTTGTCATTTTATCAAGAGCCAGAAATCTGGGAAATATCACAGCCCCCTGCCCCCACAACACACACAACTTTTCTGAGCCCCTGGGGCTCCCCTAGGCATAGGTACTGCATGCAATTTTCCAGACCCTTAAACTCATAAAACCTAGGATGCATAGCACCAAGTTCTTATGCCCTTGATGAAATGTCACTACTGATCATAGATATAAATATGACTCAGAACATCCAAATGATACTGATACACAGTCATAAATATTTCTTGGCTCTTTGATGATATACAGCACACACACATTAATCTCTGCAGAAAATTAATCAATACAGCAAAATACAATGCTTTTGATAGTCTGTGAGAAAAGTCTCATTTGCTGAATGATATTAAAATGTGTTCTCAGGCCGGGCGGTGGTGGCGCACCCAGCACTCGGGAGGCAGAGGCAGGCGGATCTCTGTGAGTTCGAGGCCGGGCTGGACCGACAGCCTCCAAAACAATACAGAGAAACCCTGTTTCGTAAAAACAAAAACAAAAAAAAAAATGTGTTCTCAGGGATTGAATTTCTCATTTCATCTGCAGAATGGATGTCCTACAGAATCTTCTTGGGTGTGTTGATAGTGTTTTCTTTCTCCTCAGGAGGGTTGAGTAAAGACACTGGTTATTTAAACAGGGTGTGGGTAGATCTCTCTGAGTAGATCTTGACTAAGGGGGAAAGATTGAAAATACACTAAGAGTCTCTTTTTAAATGAATGGGCTTTTAATTTATCTTGCTGTGAGATGCTTCAACGAAGTAATCATCCAATTAGCAAATATTTGCTGGGTACCCAGAATGTGTCTCAGCACTGGCTGCATAGCAGTGAACCAAAGGAATGAAAAACACCGTTGTCTGGGACTTTCTTTTTTTTTTTTCAGTCTAGTCAATTACTGTGTTCATTTCCATTGTAGCATCTTAGTAATGGTAGGGTCATGGCCTGTAGCTATTCTAGCATCCCTTAGAATTGTACATCATAGCTCTAAGAAGGTACAATATATGACATGTTAACTCGGGAAGTATAAGTACATTTGAGATGAAGTCAGAGACCCTCAGCAGACTGCCAGCAAGTACTCTAGTTCTGTCCACAGGGTCACTGGTACCACTTTTGTGCTGGCCACTGGGGTTCTTCTCCGAGGTTCTAGAATTCCGGGTGGGGGGAGGGCATAAGATGAGGGCTTCACACTTGCCAGAGCACATGATCAATATAAAAGTAAGTCCTGCACTGCAAGAACCTTCTGGTGAAGTCCAAAATGAATAAAGACGGGTGGGTTAAAGGTTAAATTCTAGCACAGACAACGGAACTGCAGTGCTGTGCAAAGCCCATAATGGAGTTCTGAGAGACTGCTAACACACTGAAGAAAGTTTTGAGCATGTTTGCTCATTGCTTCTATTTCACTAGAAACAGAAACAAAGTTTCTGTTACAAAATTATGAAAATCATGAGTTTACATTGGGTAATATATTGCCCAATGCTTAATAAATATTCTGATGAATAAAAGGGAAATGTAACTCTAAAATTTCCAAGATAGTCTCCCTTCCCCTCCCCCTCTCTGTGTCTGTCCTGTCTCTCTGGGTTAGGTCTGTCTCTGCCTCTCCCTCCCTCCCTCCCTCCTTCCCTCCCTCCCCCCCATTCTATCTCTCTCTCTCCTGTAATCATTTCCCAAGTGTTTATGAGCTCAGCTGCTACTTTCAAAGCCAAGGGAGAAAGTGTCCATAGCTTTATCTTGATGTTCGTTAGAAAGGACTGCTGTGATACCTTTAGGGATTAAGGAGAGAACTTTCAAATGTGCAACCTAAAGTCAGCCAAGTGCAGTTAGAGACATGGTTCAGTTGGTGAAGTGCTTGCTGTGAAAGCATGGGGGGTCAGGGGCCATATCCTCAGCACTCATCTAAAGGCTGGCTGGGGAGGTAGACGCCTATAATCCCAGCTATCTCAAGGCAGAGGCAAGCAGATCTCTCTAAGTTCGAGGCTAGCCTGGTCTACATAGCAAGTTCCAGGCCAGCCAGGGTTACACAGTAAGACCCTGTCTCTAAACAAACAAGTAAGTAAATACAAGGTCACCTTCTGGGAACTGGCAGTTAGATTTCAGCATGTAAATGAGGTGGGGCAGGATTTAACCCATAACACAACCTACCAGTTGTCGATGATGTACAGAGGAGCAAGTTGGGACAGACCCACCCAGAGTCCAAGGCTCACATCTTCTGGGAATTGACAGAAAGTGTTGGGAAGGCATGGGATTCGGCAAGAGGTGGGAAGAGCTAGCTCAAGGAATCTAGATCTTATTCTGTGAGCAGTGGGAATTGTGAGGGGGTCTATGTGAGATGCACCTATGGTTTCAAAAATCACACTGCACATTTCCCAATAACCTCTTCAGCATCAAAGACATGCAAAGATTTCTCAACTTGCTGGCCTCTTGGAGAATTTGCAACTGTTCCTACATTGCCTCTCAGTCCCTGACTCGAGGGATTTGCTGAAACATGCCGTTCTCCTGTCCGTGTTTTCAGTCCTGTTTTATAAGTTCTTAAGTCAAAATACTCATTTCCAGTTAGCTTCCTCTGATTGCCTTCTCCACGGGTAAATGAATTCAATTAGTGACTTTTACACACATACCCAAAGTAACCGTGTCTTGTGGGGGTGTAGGGGACAGATTTCAGGCATATACTTTTTCCTCAGATTTTTGGGTGAAAACTGATGTCATCATAAAAAAAATTAACATTCATTCCAGAATTGTAATGGTTCTGGGATTTGTTTTGATTTCTAACATTTTTTCAGATTTTTATTCCATGAAGAAAATCCCTTTGTAATAGTTACTACAATTTTTAAGTTTTATTGACATGTGTGGGACTTCATGACTTAACATGTTTGTTTTTGAAGTTCAAACTAGGGATCCTAGCTCTAAAGTCCACTCTTTATGTCTGTTTTTGAAACTGGGTCTAGAGAAGCCCACACTGGCCTTCAATTTGTTAGGTAGCCTCTACCTGGGGTTTCAGGTGCATGCCCCCATGGTCTCTCAGCTCCCCCTCTTTTCTAACCAAACTAGGTTTACTTTTTACCTGTTTGTTATATTGAAGTTCTGGGCTGGGAAAGAGAAATCTGTTGGTTGGAAAGCAGAAAGAAGATACTATGATAGATAAGAGTCACTATCACGATCTGTTAGTCACCCTTCAATCTCAGATCACTGGAGATAAGAAAGAAAACACAACCGGCTGTGTTCCAGACACCCTAAAGTAAAAGGAAGAAGAAAGTGTTCCCACCAAGCAGCACAAGGCTACACAAGCGTAGGCCCTTCTGATGGAGGGGGAGCCAAAGTCCACACTGAGTCCAGCCATGTCGGGAATGCCAATTTAATGGGCCCATCATTAGCCGAGATATTCTCAAATTATCTCCACTTCATTGTTTGCACTTCCTTCCTTGATGAGGACTTTCCAGTAATGCGAAACTGGCTGAGTTACCGCCTTGTGCTTCAGGATTTATTTCTGCCAGCCATGCTTCCATGAAACACCCTGGTGGATTCCTTTTCCCGACGGAGAAACTGGAGCGGTCTTACCACTTACCCTGTCATCTTTAACAGCACCTACATCTGACCACGTAAACGCTTGTTCATGTGTAGGTCTTTTTTGTTCATTGTGAACCTCCGTGTGACAGTGGCCACGATTCATGCCACACGTCGAAGGTAAGGGAAAATTAAATTTTTATGTGAGCACCTCAATGGTATCGTGCATAAAACCCAAAGGAATTCTCAAAATGCCAACAGTTCTCTTTGAATAAGTTACTTCCTTTTCTTCTGGAGTGTTCCTATTTGCTCCTCATACCTTCTATTCTGCTTGCCTGGTGATTTCCATGTATAATGCAAGTTACCTTTTCTGTTTAAAAGTAGTAGTCGATTATGAATCAACATAAAATCTGGGATACTTTTTGCATGTGGCTTTGGGAATTTACTTCATAGCATTATGAATTTTATATAAACTCCTTAAAATTTTTAGTTGTTAATTCTACAATATTTCAAAAAGAAATCACTGAATTCCCAATCCATGAAACCATAAACATAGTATTTGAAGATTTTTTAAATCCATATATCAGGTTATACTGAAGATCATTTTCCTACAATTGCTTTATAATTTCTTAGTTTTTTCCAAAATGTTCATTTTTCAAAATAATTTGTTCCTAGTGATTTAAATATTCACTCTCAAAGGAGCATATATGACATGTAAGAAATAGCCACATAAAAGCAGCATTTCTGGAGTTCAGTGCTCACAAAAGATGAAAATAATATAATTCATGTTCACACTTAAACACCATGGTTTAAGTGTGCTATTTGAAAAAGGTCAGGAGTTCAAAGAAATCTAATAACAACAAAAAAAGTCTTTTCTAGTTCTTAAGTTCAATTACTAGATTCTTAGGAGTTCAGTTCAGGGAGCAGACAGGATGACTTGGATAAAGATACATGCCACTTGGGCCTGATGACCTGAATTCCGTTCCTGGGCCCTGCAATGGAAGGGTAGCACTGACCTCTGGGAGAATCCCTCTCACTTCCACACACACACCATGGCACACACGTACCCGAGCCCACACACACGTCATGCACACGGATGCACACACTAATAAAGAATAAGCCTTTCAAGGTTTCCGTTTTACTTATGTGTATGTGTCTGTGTGGGTGATTGCTAGCTGTGTGTGGGAGGTTTCTGGGAGACCAGAAAAGTGCACCCAATCTGCTGACATTGATGGCAGCTGGAATCTATTGGGTATGGGGGCTGGAAACCAAACTTGTGTCTTCTGCAAGAGCAGCAAGAACTCTCACCCTTTGAGCCATTTCTCCAGTCCAAATAAATATACATTTTTTGAGACAGAGTCTGACTGTGTCAATCTGGCTGGTGTGGAACTCAATATTATGACACGGCTGGCCTCAAACTCACAGAGATCCACCTGCCTCTGCCTTCCAAGTATTGGCATTAAAGGCATGGATCGC